AGGGGCCTCCTCGGACACGGTGACCCTGAAGCTGGGCCAGTGGCTGCTCGGTGGGGATGAGGGGGTGACACCCACTGGGAGAGGGGGGCTTCCCTCAGGCCTGCAGCCGCCGCTGGGCTGTCTCACGGGAAATAAAGCTGTCCTCCTCCACACGCTGCTTCTCCTTGGGAGGGGCCAAAACCCTCCAAATGCAGAAGGAGTTGCCACGGCGATCGCTTGTGTTGTGAAACGCACCGGTCCTCAGCGCCCGCTGGCCGCGGGAGGTCGGGGGGTGGACACCCCGCCTGCTGGGGTTTCTGTGTATGCTGCATGTGCGTGTTTTCAAGAAACGAGTCACGATGCCGCATTTTTTCTTTGGCATCTTGCTCTTTCCCATTCAGTGTTGTTACTTGGAACTCGACCTCTGTCGATACCTGAAGTTCTAAGTCGTTTAATCTAATTTCTGAGACTGTGCCATAATATATGTCAGGTCCGCCCAGGAAGAAGCCCAGCCACTGAGCCACTGTTAGTATAACAAGAATGGTTTGTGTGACATCGGTGTGAGCTGGCAGCCCAGGAGAGCGGACTGGAATGCGCGTGTGTGAACAAGGATGACTCCACTGTACCGGTCAGTGGGGGCGGTGGACACCACGGAGTGAGCACGTGTCCTGTGTGGCCGTCACAGTCAAAATGACTGAGTGAGCAGAGCAATGAATCTGCACCAAATTTCGCACTGAGCTTGAACACTCCTCTGTGGAGACTATTAGGATGACTCAGAAGGCCACGGCCACGGGCAGCTGGTGATCAGCAGCTTCGTCATGACAACGCATCTGCTCATGCATCACGTCTCGTGCAGAGTTTTTGGTGAAACATCCAATCCCCCGGGTGACTCAGCCCTCCTACAGCCCAGATTTGGTGCCTGTGACTTCTGGCTTTTCCCAGAACTAGAATCACCTTTGAATGGGAAGAGATTTCAGAACGTCGATGAGATTCAGAAAAATATGACAGGGCAGCTGATGGTGACTGGGAGAACTGTGTCAGGTCCCAGGGTGCCCACTTGGGAGGGGACTGAGGCGTCACTGTCCTGTGCACAGTGTTTCCTGTACCTTCACGAAAGGCCTCTGTCCTTCACAGCCCGTGGCCGGACACCTCCCGGACGGACCTCATACACCTATCGCCCTACGCGTGGGGTGTTTGTCTGTTTCTCTCTCTCTTTGTCAGTGTCCAAATCTTTACTCATTAAAATACGTGGGCATAGCCAAAGCAGTGTTGAGAAAGAAGTCTATAGCCCCAAGTGATTACATCAGGAAAAAAGTTCTCAAATCGATAGTCTAAGTTCTGACTCGAGAAACTGAAAAAGAAGAGAGAAACCCAAGGACAGTAAAAGGGAGGAAATGATGAAGGTAACAGAAACCAGTGAAACCGAAACCGGGAAAACGACAGAGAAAAATCAATGAAACGAAAAGCTAGTTCTCGGAGGTGGGGGGGTGGGGATCAATAGAGCTGATCACTCTTGCCGCAGGACACGCGCAAGGAGACAGGGGACAAAAGTCACCGAGATGGCGGACCGAACAGAGGCCCTGGGGACAGAGCCTGGGGTGGTGGAGGGACAGTGGGGGCTCTGAGTGGTGGGCCCTTGTGCACCGTGAGGGCGGGGGGGGTCCCTTTGCACCCCGGCACCCGGCTCAGCAGTGACAGTGCACGAGCTGCTGACACACTCAGGGGGAGTGTGCTAGTGAAAAGAGCCCACCTACAGCAGGTGCACGTTGTGGGATTTGGCTGGCACGGTGTTCTCAAAGGGACGGAATTACGGAGCACGGCCGCCGTGCACCACGGGCTTGGGGGACAGAGGCGGGGAGGTGATGAGGCTCTAAGGGCAGCACGACAAAACTGTCACACGGGACCGGGTGGTCACATGATCCTACATGGGTGTCAGACTACCCAGAACCACACACATGGCAACATGCGTGTTCATGACACCTGCAACCTCAGGCAGGCTGCCGGGCGTGTCAGCGTGATTCCTGCCTGCGATACTGTTCTACGGTCTCGCAGGGTGTTCCGAAGCGTGTACCGGCCTCCCTGTGTTGTTCCTCACAACTGCGTGTGAACCCACGATCACCTCTAAATACAAAGACTGTGACATGCCCCCGTGCCTGCCCCGTGCGTGCGCCCCGCACACACAGACCAGCTCCCCCCCGGAGGACACACTGGGCGAGAGGCCACAGCGTCAGAGAGAGACGCCCGCCTCCCAACCCCGCCCCCACCCCCCCTGTGCATCCTCGGGGTCTGCTCCTCTCCCCTCCCCCTCGCCGCACGGAGAGTCAGAGCCCACGCTGCCCGCCGGGACGACGGACATGAAGACCATCTCGGGGATGCTGCGGCGTTCGATCCCCGGTAACGCGTGGGCAGTGCCCTCGGCGCCTCGCCTGCCGGGTTTCTCTCCCAGCCCGGCCTGCTCGCCCTCGCCGCTTCCTACGGGGGGGCTCGTTTTACGTGACGAGTTCTAGAACTTTTCACGTGTTCCAGAGACCCCACCCACGCCTGTGTGTCCCCATCCTCTGAGCGTCGATCTAGTTTTTGTAACGGAGCCTCCCACCCAGCAGCGGCGGGCCCCGCCTCCCCGGCTGCCCCTTGCAGGGAGTCACTGGCAGGCATCTGCTCCCGGCGCTGCGTCTCCGAGGCGGCCGGCCAGCCCCGGCGGAGTCTCTGCCCGCCCTGAGCACGGGGCGCCTCGCTGCTGCCCGAGCTGCGCTGCTCACGCCCGCCCGGGCGCCCCGCTCTCAGCTGCCGTCCGCTTCCTCCCGTGGCCCTGACGGGCCGCAGGACGGCCTTACTGCCTCGTGGCTACTGGTTAAAAATGGCACCAGGTGATCGGATACTTTCTCTTCTCTTTTACTGACAACCGAGGAGGGCGAGCAGAGATGACTCAGGGACGCGCGTGACGGCACCGCGGTGGCCGCGGCGCTCCGAGGAGGAGGAAGCGGGGTTTGGGGAGTGGTAACTCATTCGCGTGGAATTTTAATCGGAAGGGGAAGAGGGAGGCAGGTATGCAAGGTTGATGGACTGTGTCCTGCGCCCCGAGGCCGTGCCGGGCGGCCCCCAGGGGCTGGCGACCAGCTCCTGGACCTGAGCCTCGGGTGCCCCGGGGTCTCTGCGCCCTGGTCTCCTCATCGGCAGAAACGAGGGCCTGAGAGGGGAGTTCCAGGAAGGGAGGGCGTCCCGGGCCTCCGGGACAGCAGCGAGGTGGCTGCGGCTCTCCGAGCAGAGCCCGGCGTGGGCGTGGTCCGCAAGTGCGACCTGGACACCCGGGTGGGGAGGACACCCAGACGGTGGCTGGCACCGCATCCCTTCTTCAAGGACTCTAGAGAGGAAGTTCGGGCGCACACACACGCGCCTTCCACGAGCGGGAAAACATTCAGGCAGCCGTGGGGCGTCGACGAGAAAGGCTTTTCAGCAGGTCCTGGGCCAGACCGTCAGACCCGGCACCCCCCACCGCGGCGGGCGCTGCCCCTGCCCTTGCTAGTCCTTGGGCAGAAAGGGGATACTTCAGAAAGATTTTCAAAATGCAGCGGAACAAAACAGCTCTTGTTTAGCCCCGAGGTGAAAAGGTAGGCCCTTCAGAGCAGCAAAGCCCTTGGGGGTTCCTGCGGGTCAACAGGTCACGGCGACGATGTTTAGGGGACAGCCGCTCACCGCAGGTTCCCGTTCACCCGCTGGACACAGAACGAGTGATGGGCAGAGATGCAGCTCTGAGGGGGGCCTCCTCCTGGGGTGGGGGCGGGCGCTGGCCGGCCTTCCGGAAGAGCTGCTGCTTCCCAGCCACCCCCCCACCCCGGCTCTGCATGCCCGGGGGGGCCCACTCGCACCAAGGTGGCTGCTGCGCAGCCTGTGGTGCCAGCCGGAGACGGAGCCCAGACAGGGTGGCCCTGACCTTTGGGCTGCTGCCCTGTCAAGTGTCTCCCTGACCTTGGCAGGCTGTGATCTCCTCCCCAAACCACAGGTCTTCAACAGGCGCCCCCTTCCCCCACGCCGGCAGTGTCCGCTTCCCCCCCCCCCCCGAAACCCTCCGCAGCCTGAGAGGGCATCATGGCGCCCCCCCCCCCACACACACACACAGCGGCTGTGCCAGGGACTTCCGCCTGCGGAGAGAGGGGATCACATGGTGCTGATTTTCACTCGCATCGCGGCAGCGGCTGCCGTGCAGAGAACCAGGAACCAGAGCTCGCCTGTTTCCTGCCAGCGTCCCTCTGAGATCCCCAAAGAAACCGACCCTTTCAACCAGCCCCGCTTCCTGCCACACCCCGCGGGGTGCAGAGGAGAGACCCTCGGGGACACAGGGCGCCGCCCTGGCGGCCCACCACCAGACCTGGAGCCACCTGGGCCCCCGGGGATGGCTGCAGACCCACCCCACCTCCGGGTTGCCCCCTGCCCAGGAGGGGCTGGGCCAGCACCTGCCGCAGGTGGGCGCTGGTGGGTGCAGGTGCATTGGCCCAGCCCCACCGGCCCAGCAAAGGTGGAAGCCAGGCCGGTTGCTTGGCGCTGCCTCCTGGGAGCCGGACCACAGGGCAGCTGAGCTTCCCCCGGGGTGCAGGGAAGTGGCCGGCGCTCCACTCTAGGTGAGGAAGTAGAAAGCACTTCCAGCCCCTAGGGACCCCGAGCTTTCCGGCCAGCTTGTCACCAACATCATCTCCACACTCCCAGAGTGACCACTTTGGCCCTGGTCACCTCCCACCCTACGCTCCCCTGCACGGCCGCCGCCCCCAGGCCCAGCGATCCTGGGCGACCCCTGCTCGAGCCCCGCCAGAGACCAGCCCCCAGACCCGCCGATTCCAGACCCGCGTCTACACCCACGCCATCGAGTGCAGGGAGGCCGCAGCGCCGCCACCTGCCCCTACCTGTCCCCACCTGCCCCGCCACCTGAGCACCGGGCTCGGGGTACCAGCGCCCTGCTCCCAGCGCCCTGCTCCCAGCGCGCAGAGACAAAGCGCCGCCGCCCCCCCGCCCCCGGGAAAATCACCCACCGTTGCGCTCGCCGCTGCTACGCCGAGGGCTGCGCGGGGTCCAGGCCGCCTCCCCGCCGCCCCGGGCCCCACGCGCGGGGTCCCCCGGGGCCTTTGGCGCCGCCTTCCGGGTCAGGGAATCGGTCCGCAGGGCGGCGGGCTCGTCCTCACTGGCGCGCAGCGGTGACTGACGCGCCGCTCCGGGCCCGCGCGCACCCCACCCGAACCCGCCCCTTTCGGGCTTCCTGCTCCAGGTAAACACTGCGGAGCCCCACCCGCCTCCCTCGCCCGCGCAGTGGGAGTCGGGAGGACTCAGGGGACGACCTCGGGGTGGCCTCGCCACGTGCAGCCCGGGACACGTGGGGGCCCCCGCCCCCCCTCCCCGCCGCGTCCTCGCGCCCCCGCGCAGTTCAGCCCGGGAGGGCGGGGTCGGGGGAGCGGCAGCGCTGACCTTCGGCTCCTCGGACTCTGAAGCCGCCCCAGACGGGTCTCCTCACCGAGCGCCTCCCCGCAGAGCGACCCAGGGCCTGGGCGCAGGCGGCTGGTCGGGATCCCGCGCCCTGCGGGTTCAGTGCCGGCTCTTCAGTGCTCAGGCTGCGGGGGTGGGGTGGGGTCGCCAGGGCCAGCTGGCCCTTGGGACCACGTGGAGATTAGCTCTGCTGGGACCCCGGACCGCCGACCGGAGCTGAGCCTGCGAGCACAGGGTGCCTCCCTCCGGGGGCAGGTGTAAAGCGCCAGGGGGCAGAGCAGCAAGCGCCCTGAGCTGCCCGCCGGGCGCTGCAGCCTGCGGCTCGTGGCTCCTGGTCCTCCTGGGGGGAGAGAAGCGGGCACTTCGGACATTAGCCCCTTGGATCTGATGGAGTCAGAGCCTTTCTCTGGATGGACTCCCAGCCTCCTCCTGATGGTGTTAGAGGAGGAGGAGGAGGAGGGCTGGACCCCATGAGACCCTGGCACACCTCCTGACCTAGGGGCCGGGTCAGGGCACCGAACCTGTCTCTCCCCGGGAGACCGGGCACCACACAGTGTCTGCTGGGTGGGCGGGGGAGCTGGCGCTGGGCGAGATCCGCAAGTCCACCCCCAGGCCGGGCGTTCGGGGACAGCACGGCCCCTTCCAGCGTGCTCCAGGGCAGTCTGCCCTCAGGGACGGGACCCACCAGCCACGCTCCAAGGAGGGAGGTGGGTGGTGCTAGGAGCCGTGAGTGCCAGTGACATGAATATTTAATTCAACCCTTTCTCAGAAGAGGTTGATGAGAGGAGAGGACACCAGGGTGGGTCCTCGTGAGAAGAGGGAATGAGGGAGAGGAGAGGCCAGGTGACATGGAGGCAGGGACAGGAGGGACATGGCCACCAGGGGCAGGGAGAGGCAGGGAGGACCGGCTGGCACAGCCAGAGAGACCCTGGGGGGGAGGCTCCGGGGGGGAGAGACTCGGGGGAGAGACTCAGGGGGGGAGAGACTTGGGGGAGAGACTCCGGGAGAGAGACTCGGGGGGGAGAGACTCGGGGGGGGAGAGACTCGGGGGGGGAGAGACTGGGGGGGGTAGACCGGGGGGAGAGACTCGGGGGAGAGACTCCGGGGAGAGACTCGGGGGACGCAGGGGTTCTGGTCTCTAGCTCCAGGCTCTGTGAGAGGCCCCGTCTGTGGTTCAGGGCGAGGAGGACGCCGTGGGTGTCCACGGAGGGGCCCCGGGCTCGGGGCCGCTCCCCGCCCTCCGCAGCCACCTGAGGCCCCTGGGCCGCTGCAGACAGCCCCACGCCCCTGGCCCCCTCCCCGGCTTCGGAAGCCCCCCCCCGTCGCCCCTGCAGACACGGGCCCCCCCCAGAGCCCCCCTGTGGGAGTGCCTGCGCACAGGCTCTGTGGCCAGGCCAGCACCAGCCGTGTCTGCGTGGGCCTGTCCACAGGTCGGAGGGTGGGCCGGGGGCCTGCGTGAGGTCGGAGAAGACCCTGGGGTCCCTGACGCCGTCTTCGGGGTGCAGAGCCACGTGGGGGGGCCTCGGCGGGCAGGGTGCTGGCTGGGCAGGCTCAGGGGTGTGAGATGCCGAGAACCCGCGGGCTCCCGGGGTGCGGCGCTGTGCCGGGGGAGACAGAGGCGGTGAGGGACGCAGGGAGGGCCAGGGCGCCTGGAGCCGGCATCCCAGCCGGGAGCTGCGTGGCCACCCGCCGTGCGTGGGTGGGTCTGCCGTCCAGGCGGCCGTGGCAGCGTGTCCCCGAGCTCTGCGGGTTGGGACAGCGGGAGAGGCTGGAACGCAGAGCACCTGCGGGAGGAGACGGTGACCTCGGGGGTGAGCTAGCACTGCGCCAGCCAACGCCAGTGCCGGCGCTGCCCCGAACCCCACGTGGCTGTGGGGGGCGAGCTCAGTCCCGTGTGGGTTCCTGGGGCACCAGCCAGGGCCGTGGCAGGGGCTGCGCTTGACTCCGCAGCGGTGGCGCCCCGACACAGCAGCCCTGGGTAGGCACCCACAGGGCTTGGAGTCGGGATCCGAGGCAGGCAGGCAGGCTGGCGGCAGGGCAGGACCAGGGCCTGCCGGCGGGCGCAGGGCCGGGGGGGGGCGGGGGGGCGCCCGGAGGGGCTGTGCAGAAAGGAAGGCACCTCGCTGCTGGCTGCCGGCTGCCGGCTGGCGTCTGGTGGCCGGCGGGTGTCGCCTGGCCCGGGGGCGAGGGTCGATGTGGGTGCTCTCGGGCCGCTGTGTGGGTCAGGTTTGCCTTAGGAAAGGCCGTCCGCGCCACCCCAGACCTGCATCCAACCCTAACGTGCCCTGGGGTCCCACGTCCTCAGGTCTGCCGGGACCGGTGCGTCCCAGGAGCCAGACTGTCCACGACCTGGATTTTCCTGCCCCCCTCTTTGGGGGGCGCTGTTCTCACCGGGGGGGAGGGGGACTCTCTTCTTGCACACGTTGGCTGGACCCGTGACGGCTGTGACGTGGAGACACGCCCAGGCTCCAAGCAGTGGCCCCGTGCGACACTTCGTCCCTGCTTCTGCAGAGGGAGGAAGGAAGGGAGAGAGGCTTTGAGGTGAGGCAGAAACATCGACCGGTCGCCTCCCGCAGGCGCCCGGACCGGGGCCCGGAGCCACGACCCTCCGGTGACAGGACGACCCTCCAGCCGGGGCAGCCGCACCGGTCAGGACGCACGCGTGGGCTTTATCGACATGATCAGTGTTTCAGTAATGGAGGTCGTTAGCGGTTCAGAGTATGCTGTCAATGACCGCCGCAGCAGTGGCCCCTCCCCGCCCCGCAGAGTTGGACAGCCGCGCCGGGCAACTGCCTGTCTGTTTACAATGAGGCTCCGGGAGCCCACCCGCCGTCTGGACTCCAGCCTCAGTCTCTGGTCCCGAGCTGCAGGCTCCTTCTGCGGCACCACCCTGGACCTGAGACGAAGGAGTGCTCACCCCTGACCCCTGACGTGGGGGTCCCTGGTGCTTGTTGAGTAAGACCCGTGGTTCTCGGCCCCTGAAGACTGGGAGTGGGGACCTCTGAGGGGTGTGGCCAGGCCTGCCCGGCCCACACTCCGGACTCCGACCCCTCCCTCTGCCCAGCTGGGCGCCGCCGCCCCGCCGGAGGCCGGTGGGCGGGAGCCAGGACGGAGCCCTCCCCAGCCCTCGGTGGGGGGGGGGACACCCACAGCCCGAACTCCCAGGCCCCCCCCCGCCCGGCGCCGCCTTCTAATTTGTGTGCCTCCTAGTTCACCATTTGCCTCCCCGCCCCAGTGCTGGACTCTGGATTGGAATTCTTACACGGTTCTGGGCGTGTTCGGGGGTCCGAGGACTGGCTGCTGGGTGTGGGGGAGGGAGGGAGGTCATCGCCTGCAGCTCCCGGCGGTCTGTCGTCTCCTGAGAGCGGCGTTCTCCGCTGCCTCTCCGGGGTGTGCGTGTGCATCTCGGCTCTCCCCCGTGTGCGGTAGGCGCGGCCCGGGAGCGCTGGGACGAGGCCGGCGCACAGGGTGTGGATACAACCGTCTGATTATCTTTTCCTTGAGCACCTGCGCGTAGGCCACGGTCCGTGGGCGGCCCGTTGGACTTCGGGAGCCCACCCTGGTGACGGGCTGGCTCCTCCGAAACCACCACGGCGACTGCTGGGCCCCCGGGCCGGGCTGAGTGGCGGTGCCGGATTGCGGGGCGTCTCTGCGCGCCCGCTCCCCGCCTCCGCTGCGGAGTCCGCGGCGCCGATGCCGCAGACGGCGTGCAGCGGCCTGTGGATTTCGGGTCTGGCGCTCTGCCGGTGTGGGTGTGGGTTGCAGAAGCGCCTGCTTTCGGCTGGAGAGCAGCAGGACGGGGGAGACGCCACCAGCTCTGAAGCCTCCCCCGAGGCCATGCCCCCCTCCCCCGCCCCCGCAAATGAGGAGGTGTCAGCCCGCGGGGGTCGCAGCGTCCGCTCCCCCTGCCAGGCGTGGGGCTCACCACACAGGGCTCCGCCCCGCGGAGTTCGTGGCCCGCACCGCACGCCTGAGCCGCGGCGGGGCTCCGCGTCGAAGTTGTCAGGACACCCCAGACCGAGGACGGTGGTGGTCTGGCCTGGGGCGGGGGCGAGGTGACGTTTGATGCGCCAGGGACCTAGAGACGTTCAAGTCACCCCGGAGGAGGTGCTTGGAGCGGAGACCCGAGGGGAACACCCCACATTAACCACAGTCGGCCGCGAGCCCGGTGGGTACGGTGAGTGCCCCGCACAGAGGGCCGGGGTGGCTCAGGCGCGTGGCTGCCTGCGTGGGAACGCGGGCGGGTCGGACGGCGGGTTCCCGGCTGCCGAGTCTGTGGAGACACGCCAGCACTGGGCGCACGCCACGCGAGCCGCACACGTCGCAGAGGGCCACCCAGGCGTCGGCTGCGGCGACGGCGCCCTCGGTAAAGCCAGGTGTGAGCACACTGCAGCGCCTCTGCTTCCCGGCGACCCCAGGCCCTTCCCGGCTGCACCGCCGCCGTGCGTGCCGCCCGGACACCACCGCACGGGGCTCCTTCCCCTCGGGGAGCGGGGACAGACCCACCCCCACCCCCTCGAGGAAGAGCGGACCCACCCAGCGGGCTCTCGGCTCATCTCCCTCCCTCCCGGACTCGGCCACCTCCGGTCCGCGCAGCGTGAGTCCTTGCATCGTGCTGTGTCTGACGCGAGACCCATCCGTTCTGACCTGAATTCGAGGAACCCAAGCCGTCACGCAGCCTCGGTCGAGGCCCCTTCGTTGCCAACCATCACGAAGCTGCACGGGAACTGGAAGACTGCCCGGGGGGCCTGAAGT